TGACTGAACTTTCAAATTTCACAAATTTGGAAGAGCTACTATCTTTGGCATCAAAGATCTCCCATAATTTAGTACCATCAAGCCAACATAAAGTATGGCCTATAGGATCTCTAGAATGATCTACTGTTACATGACTGGTAAGTTCATAACCTTGATAATAAGAATTATATTTTCCATCTGGTCTAGGCATGATTAAATTAAAGGCTTTAGCTATTTCTAGATTGAGGAAAAAAGCATTTTCACATCCATATCTGTATGCTCTGTCGATCCCACCATTGTTGATCTTCAACCTGTATGTTCCACCCACGTTTTCCCATGAAAATTCTGGCCATCTGCAATGTTTTTTCTCTGAAAGTAGTAATACCACTTGCTTTGATGGGTGATTTGCTGTGCAGTCTGTAAGTGAGTAAAGCAATCATTCTATTTCAAAAATCCACACCATCCCTGGAAGCTGATAGAACTTTCTCTTTTCTCCCCATTTCATACTTCATCTTATTGCCTTGGATCCAATACTCTTTATCGGAAATGAAATTATCATTGTCATCTTTTACACCTTTCATGCTAAGATTTAATCCGCACATGAAATCTAAGTCTACCAAGCTTCGGTAATCATTGCCAACATTTGAAGATAAGGCAGATGGGAATAAAATGCTCCACAAGGCCACTTCCCATTCTCTTCCCGGTAAAGAGATCGTCTTGAGAAGTTTGGCTTTGAATCTACCTGGAGTGTTATCTCTGTAGATAGTGTCATATCCGTTACTAGGAAGCGTGAGATAAAACGTGTCCTAACCCTAAGCATAAATCGACCATTTCCTTCGCCTCTATCCAGCTGTCGTATTTGGAAGGCCAACCTTTCCATCTGACCAAAGCTTTCCCGTCTTTTCTCTTTAATACTTTTTCGATCCGGAAAAACGTGTCTTTATCACCCATATCGACTTTTTGCAACTCTTCCTCGTAAAACGTACCTTTGACAGGTGTTTCATTATATTCTTTGATCTTGTAAGATGGTACATAGGAATTTAATAGTCTATCTACGATGAATATTTCTTCTGTCCAGCCTGGCAAATACCCTTTCTTAAAGGTTCTACGAACCTTGCTCAACATGACCTTATCCCCTGCTTTTAAGGTAGGCTTTCTACTTTTACGGGATGCACCGAACAATTTTTACTGTACAATTTCTTCCACACTTTTCCATCATTATACGTGGTGACATTCTTAGATGCGACACCCGTAGCATTGTGTACAGATGCGTTATAACCTTTGACTAAATCTGGTAAAAAATCCAAATACTTGAGAGTAGCATTGGCTGTTAAAGCTCGGTACAATCTCTGTTTGAGGGTTTTGTTAAATCTTTCTACCACACAAGCTTTTTTATCACTTTGAGTATTAAAATGAGTGATCTTTTGCTATGTGAGATATTCTTGAAATGATTTGTTGTAAAATTCACTTCCTTTATCCGTTTGTAGACGTAACGGTTTTCTCCCTTCTTTCAAAATAGACTCAAAAGCGCGTTTTTGTTCTGCACCTGTTTTGTTCTTCATAGGAACCACCCATGCGTATTTCCTTTTAAGGAAAACGTCTTAAAAAACGTTTTAAAAAACGTCTACAACTGTTAAGAGATATTTTACCCCTTTGTTGTATCTACTGAGATTTTTCATATCCGCTAAATCGGCTGCCCATTGATGATCTATACTATTAGCTACGGTTGGATTCCTTATGTAACGTACTCATACCGGTTTATGCAAAGAGTGAATTAAATTCTTCGGCATGATACTCTTGAGTTTTTTGACGGGTACACCCATAGCTGTTTGTAACCTTTGCAATCCACCATAACTACCTGGATTCGAAAAGTCATAATACGTCTTCAATACCATCTGTTCCAACTTTTTTTCTTTATCCAACTTTCTTTTCTTCCTCTTGTTCATTCCCATGACTTTTTTTTTCTCTCTTCTCACAGTAAAATTTTAGTGCAACATCTCACTAACACGATTAAAGCCGCCCTCATTAACTCTTTGAATGATGGTACTTTATCGGGATGAGTATTAAATACCTATTCTTTATGTTGTTTGAAATCTCTTCCTCTTAACTGTTCTCTCATTCCCTCCATGTGTACAATGAATACCCTGAAATTCCATTTATCCACACGTTTAGGATCCGTGATTAAATAAATAAATATATCATCTGCATTTTCCTTGGTTTTCACTTTTTCCAATTGTTCTCGAGGTATAAGTGAATCTCGTCCATTCAATTCGTTTTGATAAATTCGCTGCCATAACCATTCTTTCCCTATCCGCTCCATCTTCTATTCTGACCAATAACATTCATGGCATAGGTATTTATATAAAAACACAATGAAAAATGTTTTTCTCGTCATTTTCACCCATGTGTTATCTAGAAACAACGAACGCCAATGTAAAGGGCAACCATGCAGCCTTTTTTCTTCAGAAACGTCAATCATTCAAAAATGAAGTGACTGATCACTACTGGAAAAAATACTGGGTGATTGCCATCTTGAAAACCCTTTTCATAAATTGAAAGGACTTGAACCATCTATTCACCCCTTCTTTTTCCATACAGCGATTGGAATATGTCGATGAAATGAGTTACAAACTTGAACGTGGATTGAAAGAAATCAAGTTTAATCACATCTACAACAAATGGGTCAAAATCTTGAGAGAAAGAGGAGTGTATCATCCCATTTGGAACCATGAGGACATGGATTTTGTAAAATCCATGATTTCTGGAAGTGACATTACTAAAATGCTATTGGAGGAAACAATACTGGAACAACCGTGTCAACTACAATAGTGACTACTGTCTTGGCTGAGAAACTATGACCTCAATGCTTATTAATAGAAAGGTGCACAATACCTACAGGAATCTTAAGGGAACTGTTATGTGTGAATGCAACAATCAGGCTTCCCTGAGAGTAAGTGAGTCAAGTCTAAACCCAGGAAGACCCTTTTTTGGTTGCCAAAACAGAGGTGGATGTCGATTCTTTCAATGGGCAGATGTAGGGTTTACCAAAAAAAACGAAGAACTACAGAAACTCTTTAAAGAATATGGCAAGTTTTGAAAACTTTTATTTTTTAACTGTAAATAGCCTTTTTTTTTAACAACGCTGTAAATAGCTTTCTTTTTTTCTTTTCAAACGTTTTTTTATTAACTAAAATGAGATGGTGTTCTTACAAAAAACACAAAATCTTTATCCAAGCCAGACTTTGGAATGGCAAGTTTGAAATCCATGTAATAAGAATGGATTTTATATAAATTACAAAGTAAACACTTCCATTCTTGAGTTGAATAAAAATGTTCAAACTTTTTAAAGTCAATCATGCAAAATGTTCTATACAATGTAAATCCAGTGTGTGGTTCACCATACAGATTCTCAGCCATTCTCTCAACGATATTATAAAAGCTCTTGGCTGACACCTTGTGATAATAGTATTTCGTCATGTCCGGCCAGTGCGTCCAGTTTTCTTTGTCTGCCTGAATCTGGTAGACCAGTTTGATTGCCATCATGAGGTGTGTCCTCGTCTCGTAGTCGGCCGTAACCCGTGTACCCTGCATGACGCGACTGCTCTCTTAATCATACTCCTCGTTGAATGCGGCCACCTCGTCCATGGTGTAATCCGTACCCGCTTGGCGCACCCTCCCATTGTTTCAGCCATTGTCTTTCAAAGGAGACAGATTTTTACACGGCGAGACATTTCCCACTCTTCTCCACGCAAACATTCTTACAATATTGACAACAATCGACCTCGTACTTCAGGCAGGCAGAAATTAAAAACAATAGTGGTATAAACATAAGAATGAAGCAGCAAAGCCAAATCGCCATTGATTGGATAATGTGAACAGCCCCACCCTTCTCTTCTATACTACACCCTATAGCGCTTCCATATGGTATAACCCCTAGAGGGGATGGGGGGTACCCCCTATAATGTTTCCATTCAAGGTAAACATGATGGTGTGATAATGTTTCCATTTAAGGTAAATGATGATGTGATAAGACACGTGAATAGTTTATGGTATAAATACTCGACACCTGTCGATAGAATCCATCAGTTTTTCCAGTCATGGATCAACAACAAGATATCTCAGATAGATACCTATTACAGGCGGTAGAAGTACTTGAAGAACTTGAAAATGCAGGGCAGAGTGGTGGTGGTAGAAGAAGGAGAAGAACAAGAAATCGAGAAGGGTACTTTACCTTCAGCCGTACGCAGTTCAGAGAGAAGACAGCCAAGAGTAATGGCATTAAGCGCACCTTGTATCATTTACAGGTAGACAATCCAAGAAACACATTCTCTGTTGGGCATGGTAACATTGTAAGAGCTTTTGAGGAAGGTCTTGCTAACAGCATAGAAGAATTAATTGATGGTTTGCCAAACCATGACAGAATCCAAATCTATCTTGGCAGTAGCCGCCTGCGTAATTCCCACACCTCAGTGCATGTTTCTGTTGAACAATGGCGTGACCCTTTGGGTGCTTCGAGGCAAGTACTTCAAAACATCTCTAATTTGCTTAATTCTAATGAAAGTTTTCAATTAGACAACACATTGCAACTGGATGTGACACACATCTCCATGCCGTCGCCTGGGAGTGGATTACCGAAAGGAAAGCGTAAAAGATGTTGTTTTGGTACAGACAACTATGGTGAATTCCTAAAGTCGAAAAGAAGTGTTGTGCGCATCATGAACGATGATGATCTTTGCTGTGCACAAGCCATAATAGTGGCTAAAGCCATAGCGGATAAAGATGAAAGGTTAAAACTCATAAAAGATTCAAGGATACGTGTGCAAGAAACTTTGGCGTGAAAGTTACAAGAAGAAGCGCGCGTTCCCCTAGGTCCTTGTGGCCTAGACCAAATAAGGCTATTTGAAATCATATTGAACGACTATCAATTTGTTATCCTATCAGCAGAACATGGACATGCTGTTGTTCACAAAGGTCCACCCAGTGAAAAACAATTCATGTTACTCATGCATGATGGGCATTTCGATGTGATCACTAAACTACCTGGTTTCTTTGATTCGAGTTACTTCTGCCTCGAGTGTGAAAAGGCCTATTCTTCGGAAACCTACAATCATCATTCCTGCCGTAAAACTAAATGTGAGGCTTGTCTTCAAAAAAAATGTCATGACTACAACATCTTTAAACACACTGAAAATCCAGAACTGTCATGCAAAGAATGTAATAGAAGGTTTTACAGTGTGATGTGCCAATTGAATCATCTGACTCAGAAAGCCAATGGTCAATCGGTAGCGCCCTCAGAAAGGAATGTGTGTCAATCCCATAAAAAATGTCCCATTTGTCTGCATCTGTACACTTCTACATCACAAGAACATGTGAAACATTGTGGGCTTCAATATTGTCCAAATTGTTCGAAGGAAGTGAACATTTTACAGCACAAATGCTTCCTTCAGTCCATTGATGATGACAATGATAAGAAAACATTATCTTTGTGTACTTTGACATTGAGGCGCATCAAGACACTGGAAATCATATTGCAAACCTATTATGTGCAGAAACAGATCAGAACAATCAACAATTCACCTTTTAAGGCGAACAATGTGTTGAGTCATTCCTTCAATGGGTTCATACCCTAGCTAATGGTGAAACTGTAGATAGAGTTATTGTGGTAGCCCACAATTTCAAAGGCTATGATGGTTATTTCATTTTGGAGGAACTTTACAAACAACATACAGGCAACTTGCAACAAATTGTCAATGGAGCCAAAATTCTAAGTTTGGAATTACCAAACGTCAAATTCGTCAACTCGATGAATTTCTTCCTCATGGCATTGGCAAACTTTCCCAAAACATTTGGACTGAATGAACTAAAGAAAGGCTTCTTCCCACATTTCTTCAACACGCAAGAGCATCAAATCTACAAGGGTTACATGCCAGATAGAAAGTATAACGACCCTGATGGTATGTCTCCAACACGCAAACAAGAATTCGAGTCATGGTACGATGAAAAAGTATCACAAAGATACATTTTTAATTTTCAAGATGAAATCCTAACCTACTGCCAATCTGATGTCAGGCTCTTGAAGCAAGGATGCATGAAATTCCAGGTGCAATTCAAAGAAATTTGCGGGT